TACCCAAGTTCTGTTCAATAACTTTTTAACACCGATGGATGATTGCATTTGTTCAAATAATTTATCTTCTGAGCTATCATTTGAGAAGTTTCAAGTGTCGTTTAAATCTATTAAAAAAACAAAGCCCCTGGAGCTGATGAAATAAATGGAAACATAGTCTTAGAATGCTTTGAACAATTAAAAGATATTCTCTTTAAAGTTTTCAGAGCGTCAATACAACAAGGAGTTTTTCCTGATAAGTTAAAAATAGCTAAGATAATCTCAATATACAAAGTAGGAGACAGAACTAATAAATGTAACTACCAACCTATTTCTATTTTATCAACATTTTCAAAAATCTTAGAAAAAATTATTTACAATAGATTATATATACTTATTTTAAGGAGAAGAATTTTTTTTATAAAAAACAGTTTGGCTTTAAAAAAAATAGTTCTACTGAGCATGCAATCATTCTATTCGTCCGTGAAATCTCCAACTCTTTCAAAAATTCCCAATTCACTTTAGGTATTTTTTTAGATTTATCAAAAGCATTTGATACAGTAAATCATGGCATTTTGATTAATAAACTTAAATATTATGGAGTGGATGGTGTAATTTTGAAGTGGTTTAAAAGTTATTTGACAAACCGAAAACAATTCGTTTCTTTAACGATCCTTATCAAAAAAATGTTTTAGATATTTCATGTGGTGTTCCGCAAGGATCAATTTTAGGGCCACTTCTTTTTTTAATATACATTAATGACTTGCATAAAGCTTCTAATCTTTTAAGTATTATGTTTGCGGATGATACTAATTTATTTTTATATGATAACAATATTAATAAACTCTTCACTACTATGAATGAAGAACTCAAAATAATTTCTAGCTGGTTCAAATGCAATAAACTTACCCTAAATATTAAAAAAACAAAATGGATTCTTTTTTAACCGATAACTAAAAAACGTTATTTACCCCCAACTCTACCTGATATTTTTATTGACCATATTGAAATAAAAAGAGATTGCACCACAAAATTTTTAGGCGTATTCCTTGATAAGAACATCACATGGAAGCAACATATTGATTATGTTGGTACTAAAGTTTCAAAAAATATTGGAATTCTTTAAAAGGCCAGAATCTATATAAATAAAAAAGTTTTATCCCAACTTTATTATGCATTCATTCATAGCTATATGAATTATGCAAATATTGCTTGAGCACGCACTGAAAAAAGTAAGTTACAATCTCTCTATCGCCGTCAGGAACATGCAATACGTGTAATTAATTTTGCTTATCGTTTTTCTCACTCTAAACAACTTTTTTCTGAAATGAGAATACTTAATATTTACGAACTTAATATTTTTAATATTTTATGCTTTGTATATATATGTAAAAACAATCTTTCTCCTGCCGTTTTTAATGATTTAATTACTTTGAAACCTACCAATAAATACTCTCTAAGAAATAACAACCTTCTATATGAGCCTTTTTGTCGAACAAGTTTTAACCAATTTTGTATTGATTATCATGCACCCCATCTTTGGAACAAAATTGTTTTGCCTAATTTTAATTTTAATCTACCTACTTCTTTGCATCTTTTTAAAGTTAAGCTGAAAAATCTTTTTCTCTCCCGTATTATCAAAATTTGACAATAATATTTATATTATGGAAATATTTATTAAACTTTATTATATATACTACAAAGTGATATATGTATGTATATTTTATTTTTATTTTGTTGTACTTATAGTTACTTTATAATATAATATTTTGTTTACACTAGTATAAGGTTCTGACGATAAGATCTTACTGATCTTCTTTCAGATACCTAGTTTTTCAAATGTTAGTAGTATTTGCTTACTTTATAATTTGTATTAACTTTTTATTTACTTTCATTATATTGTAAAAACGAACTAACAAATATAAACTAAAATATTTAAAAAAATAAATAAATAAAAAGAGGAAGACTACGTGCGGAAAACGTTTAAGAACATAGTATAACTTCAATATCTGTTATGTGGTGTGGCTCTGCTTCAGGAGTACTACAGTAACCTATGGTAGTTTATAGAGCATCGAACGTTTATAAAGGTAACCCTTCCTGTTGGGTAACAGGAAGGCCGCAGGAAACAATATACAGTTGCACAATATCAGGTTGGTTTGATATGGAAACATTTGCCAAGTGGTTTGAAACATGCTTCTTGCATGGTTTGTGTATGATTTACTTTTACAGTTGTCAGTAATTTAAACAAAATAAGAATCATTAGTAATTGATTCTTCATAATTAATCATGGTAGTTGATTGGTAATTAATGTATCATTAATTGTATTTGAAATAGTTTATCAATAATTGTTGGTTTTTGTTTTGTTATTTGAAGTAAAAAAATTTTTAATAATTCTACATATTTATACATTCATTTTAAAATCTTTGATGTTGAAATTTCAACTTTTATAGTTTCAAGCTTCAAGTGTCTGGAGTCACCCCATTTCCCGATTTTGATTTTTTGATTTTTAGACTGTTTTTTAATGCTAATAACATATTGGGAAGCTGAAAACTAAAATGTTTTATTAAATATATATATTAAACAAAATATATATATTAAACCCTGTTTAATATATATATATATATATATATATATATATATATATATATATATATATATATATATATATATATATATATATATATATATATATATATATATATATATATATATATATATATATATATATATATATATATATATATATATATATATATATATATATATAATAATTTCTTTATGTTCTTTATAATTATAGTGGTACGATCCACGTAAATATTTCCATTTTGCATTAATTTTAACGAAACAGTTTAATATTTTCTTTGAAAATTGTAATAAAATAAATACAGTCAATCGCAAGTTTAATGTCTAAATAAAATTGTGAATTAAACTTGACTTATTAGTAAACTTTTATTTATTTACTGTTTTATTTATTTACAATGCTTAAGACCCTTTTCTTATGAATTGAACTTTTTAAAGTTCATGTTAAAATCTCTAACTTAAAATTTTATACGTTTATAATTTCTGCTCGTGAAAAAGGAATATGGCGCTTTGTAAAATAGAGGCTATACTAAAGTTGAGTTTCCACTCATCCGTTTATCTACGGGAAAGGGAAAGGGAATGGAAAAATAATCACATGAGCATGCGCAAATTTCTTTCGGACAAATAAAAACTTTTATTACCCATGCTCACGTGATTTTTTTTTCCTTTCCTATCCCGTTCCCGTAGAAAAACGGATGAGTGGAAATTCGCCTTTAAGTATACTAAAATATACGGTTAAAGTCCGTAATTTTTAAGTTACGGAACTTCTCCTTATCATATATACAGATAAAATCATATGAAATGATGTGATTATTTTCAAAGTCTTTAAAGTATAGGTAAAAGACCGTAATTTATTGAAAACGGATTTTTTCCGTAATTATTATTTTATGTTATATTAAGATAACAACAGAAAAAATCTGATAAATACTACAGAATTTTTTTACAGTACATAACAGCAGCTAAGTCATAATTTACGACTTGAATTTACGACTTGAATCAGGTAAATACAGCAAGGGTTTGTTTGTTGCTGAAATAAATGTATAATGTAATAACCCTAAGAAGCCGTAGCTCATTGGTAGCGCGCTTAACTCAGAAACTAGAGATCCGTAGTTCAACGCCACATTTGGGCAAGTTTAATAACAACGGTAAGGAAGGAAGCGTGAACTTCCTTTCAAATCATTTTCCACGGTGCTCTTTAATAAAACCGTAAGAACTTCTTGGGGCACCTAAATAAATAAAGTAAAAAAAAAAAAAATGTATTTTAGTCTTATGTGTCATTAAGAAAAATGTCAGAGTTGAGGAATCTTAACTCCAGTTAGGCGCAATGCATCTCGTAACCAATTTTGAAGAAATTGATTTTTTTTTCCTCTCTATTATAATCTTTATGCAAATATAAGTAAAAAAAAAAGTTATTTTATATTAATTTAAATTAACTACAAATAAAGATATCGTTAGAAAATAAAGATAGGGTAATAAAGAAACGGAAAATTCGTAGAAGATCGTGATGTCTTGTCACCAAGAAACCGCTCAAGCTGACTGAAATGATTTGATATAGAACTTAAATATTTATATATATATATATATATATATATATATATATATATATATATATATATATATATATATATATATATATATATATATATATATCAACCGGTTTTAACAGTAATCCTTCGTTAAACTGGTAGAGCTGATGATTTTTTTTAGTTTAAAAGGTTCACGAAATTTACGTTGATTGTAGCAATCAATCAAATAACTTAACCAAGAAGAGTTTTTTTTTCTTTTTTTTATTGTGAGCTATTTATTTTATTTGGTTATTTAAATCTTGGCTATTTAAAATCCAATTTTTGAAAATATAACATTTTAATGTTTTATATAGTATTTGATTTCATTAATTCTTTAATAACATTTAGTTCATTTTAGGAAAACCATTATGCGATAAATAGCTAAAGTTAAAATTATTCACACTCCAGAGTATACTTGGTGTCTTATAAATAATTGTTATCGTCTGTACTTTTAGTAAAGACTTTAGTAAAATGCTCGACTTTTAGAAAGTAAGTTTCTGATGAATATACATTGACAACCAGCACATACACACAACATACTAACAGCACATATACACACATATATAACATGTATATATATATATATATATATATATATATATATATATATATATATATATATATATATATATATATATATATATATATATATATATATATATATATATATATATATATATATATATATATATATATATATATATATATTAGGTATGTGGATTGAAAATTTTAAATTGATCAAAGGTTAGATTGTTATATATCATTAGAAAGTGCTTCAATACAGTATTTCAAAGGTGAAAAAATTATTAAAATCGGACTGTTGTACAAAAAGTTATGACGTTTTTAGTCGCAAATTTTTGATATATGGATTTGTTGAAGAAACTGTGGTCAAAATTTAATTTTTCTTTACTTAAATTGTTATAACTTTGTCAATTCTTGTCTAAATACCTATAACTTAGTATCAAAAGATAGGTGTAACTGTGGGCTACAAATTTATAACATCGTCCACCTATTAAGCGTTTCCTGGGGGCTAGAGGGGGTGCCGAACCACCACCTTTACCCTAAAAATAAGCATATTTCTTTCAATAAAAAGTGTTTTTTTCAACTAACGGTTATTTTTTTTATACAAAAAATTGCTATAATTTTATTCCAGACCATCAATGATTGATGTTTATTAAAGTTGGTGGTGGATATGGTGGTGATGGTTTAACACACCCTAATTTCAAAAATATTAAATTCTCTAATTATAAATAAATAAATTTTTCTATATTTAATAAAATAAGTGAAACTAGTATACAGTATAAAAAACGTAAAAATTTTTTTTGCTACAAGAAATTCATTTATTGGTGGTGTGCTTATTGACTTGTGGGAGGGGCGTGTGCCCCCCCCCCCCAACCTAAAAAAATAAATAAGTAAAATAAATAAATCTTTATAATAACAATTATAATTATTTTAAAATAAGTTAACAATTTAAAACCTGAATTAGGCTTTTTGCACCAAGTATAACCTACAAGCTAAAGATAAAAACCACAACTGAGCCTACTTTTGAAAAAAAAGTCTTTCCGCTGCTATTCATAAATTTTGGTTAAGTTGAGAAGTTTGTTAAATAGGGTGGTAATGGTTACCCACAACCTACAATAAAAAGATGTTGAATTCTTAAAAATAATTGTATCTTTAACAAACAAAATAAATTAGTATATTTCGTTTTTTGATATTTCATTAAATATATTTTATTTCATTACCAAATATATCAGTGTTGTATCCTATAAAAAAATGTAACAATCAATTTATATTGTTCTGTATTAAAACATTTTAGATATCCTAAGTTTAAATAGTTGTCTTAGCTTTTAGTAAATAATTAAAATAGTCAATTTCATAAATGGAACACTATAATAATCATTTGTAACAATAGACACCACGTGAAGATAAGCCAGAGCTGCCTATCAAAATATTTTGCAAGTCACAACACTTGTGCAAAGGTCATTCCAAGTCAAATATTTTTATTCTTCTCTAAAAACATTTATAAAAAAAAGTAAAACAAAAACATATGGTTTAATACCAGGCATACCTGACTTCAAGTTATATTACTTACAATACCTTTATACAAGTTTCATCATATGCCGTATCTGTTTTGTAAGTTTTATCACTTGCAGTATCTACTTTTAAAGCTTCATTACAAGTAATATCATAAGTTGTTACATATTACACTTCAAAAAAAAATCAACTCTCCTAGTCCAACATCAGCGGAAGCTGATATTTTTTCATGTTGTAGTCAACAGCTTCAGTATCAGTATTACCTTTATTCCAGTAAGAAATTGTACAAACTTTGTCTTGTTTTGTTTTATCAAGTTTTTCTTCTCTACCATCATACATGACATACTTCGAATACTTACTATTGTACCATTCATGGCAAAGTTTTTGCCCAACAATTCTATCTGACATTACATTATCTTAGTCATGACGTTGTTTGATAGACAATGTATTTAAACACTTTATTTCATTGTAAAAGAGTTCAAGCAACTGTTATTTTAGCTTTCTTTTGTCTTTTTCATCCATTTTTTGTCATTTGCATACATGTTTTTTTGAAATATCTGCTCATATATCATTATGCTTCATTTGATTTATCATCTCTTTTTATGGGTTTCTGAATAGATCACATAACTATATTTTTATGGGTTTCTGAATAGATCACATAACTATATTTTTATGGGTTTCTGAATAGATCACATAACTATATTTTTATGGGTTTCTGAATAGACCACATAACTATATTTTTATGGGTTTCTGAATAGACCACATAACTATATTTTTATGGGTTTCTGAATCGACCACATAACTACATTTTTATGGGTTTCTGAATCGACCACATAACTACATTTTTATGGGTTTCTGAATCGACCACATAACTATATTTTCTCTAGATAATTGATCTAAACTTTCTAGGTAATTTAATTTGTATGAAACATAACAAACTGTTGCATTAGGTGATCTTTTTTCAGCCTCACTAAACATTCCCATTAACTCTTCACTATTTATACCGTGCTGCCTTGCACATGCTACTTCCTCCTTGAGAGTCTGGTTAATAGAAAGTGAGAAATATCTCTTACATTGATGAGTTATGACGTCTCCTACTGCAATAAGACAAGCAAAAGTCATATTAATAAAGTGTTCATCAATCAAACAAAACATTTTTTATTGGATCTAAAATATTTGGTTCAAGGTCATTTTAAAAAGTGAACCTGGATTTGATTTAGAATCTGCAATTTTTAGTAAAATATTTTTTAATACCAGGATTCCACTATAATGGTCAAAATTTGCCTCCTCAACAGTCACACAAAATTTTGTCATCCAGGCTGGAAACTGGATGACAAAGTTTTATGTGACTTTGAGGAGGTGGTTTTCCAAATAATGCAAGCACACTTTTGCTTTAGAGCTGTTTTGTTACAAAATACTGCTCTAAGAACTTTTTGTATAGTTCTGCATATTACTGTTCCAATGGTTAAAAAATGCTCAAACTCATTAAATGTTTTATAAAAATAAAACAAGTTTGAAAATAAATATGAAGACGATTTCATCGATACCTTGGAATGATACCTTGTGGTAGTTTTTGATCATCTAAAAACTAACGAATCTTTTTGAATCACCTTTGCCATGTTTAAACCTCAACTTGTTCATAGCCAAAACTATTTTAAATGCCATACAATCATACCCAGCCATGAGGTAGCAATTATATCAAGAGCATGTAAATGGCAGTTTAGCTCATTCAAACTTTCCCCTTAAATGTCACACAGTTTGCTTATGGTAAGATGGTTAATTGCAACTTTGGCTGACATTGCGTTTAATATATTTGAGATGATTGATTGATCACTATCACTAAAAGATGCTAAATGAAAATCTAAATAAAAGTTAGATGATCAACTGCTTTACATATATGCAAGCAAATATTCGTAACTAGCTATAAGCATTTTATTTGCCTTAATATTATGTACAACTTTAACTTATTTTAGCTTTTAAAGTTCTGAAATTTTCATTGCTTTTTTTTAAGCTTTAAGATTGCATATTATCTTACTGTAATAATATGTTTGCAAATTTTGTTTAAGATCTCTAAGTTCAGCTCTTAAAACTTTAACAATTTGTTTCTTTTATGTAATTTTTGTCTCAGTACTTTCAACTTGTATGCCATGCTTTTTAATTTTGCTGTCACTATTACTAATTTATTTCAATACTTGCTGGATGTAACAGCAAGCTGAGAAGTTAAATAGGACAATCTGGTATTCAAACCTTTTTTTTCTAGGGCTTATTTCTCCTCTTGATTCATGCCTATTCATTGTTAACAGAATGTTTGGAAAATAAAGGCTTGTGATTTAGTGGTGATAAATTACTTATGTGCTTAAGTGGTGAATTATCTAAACTACTTAAAACAGTAGTAAGAAAACTACTTGGAGGGACATGATGATAGAAAGATTGGCAAGATTTGTGCAATGCATATACAGGGTTCATTACAAAATTCCTTAAAACGACAACTATCCCTTGTAAAGTTGCAAAACCAACTTTTGCATCTTTTCAAAACCCTAAAGAAATGTGGTTTACAAATGTTTAAACTAAATAATAGTTATAACAAATGACTTGACACTGTTAATGAATAAAAAAGATACATATCTATTTTTACAACAACTGCAAGTTTTGGCAGTTAAAAAGAAGTGTGTATTTAAATACTCTTTAACTGTACTAAGAACAAAAATTAAAGTTGCTTATTGTGCCTATTGCCGGGGCACAAAAAGCAACTTTATTTACAAAAAAAAATGTAAAGAAAGTCTTGAATAACTACCGAATAATGATATAACATTAAATTATAAACAATATTATACTTTTATTATTAAAAACATTTTTAATAATACTGTATTATTGCGTAATTAAAAAATACTATTTATACACACAGACAAAAATGCCAATGTATACTGACATCATAAAACATGTGATAATATAAAGAGTTTTTAAAATACCATCATACCTATAGCTAGAATTATAGTAATCAACGCTTATGTTTTCAATTTCAATGAAACCAATAAAATTTTAGAAACTATAAACAAGTCACACTAAAATAAATAGTAATTTTCACTTTTAAAATAAAATAAACTAGTAAAAATATACAAACTAATATTAATTAATATAAAAAATCAAATAAACTACTGAAAAAATAAGAAAAAGAAAAAAGCATCTTATTGGCAGTCTATATCTAATTGTATTAATATATATATATTTATATATATATATATATATATATATATATATATATATATATATATATATATATATATATATATATATATATATATATATATATATATGTATATATATATATATATATATATATTATTATTATTATTATTGTTATTATTATTATTATTATATATATATATATATATATATATATATACATGTATACATGTATATATATATATATATACATATATACATATATACATATTTACATATATATATATATATATATATTATATATATATATATACATATATATATATATATATATATATATATATATATATATATATATATATATATATATATATATATATATATATATATATATATATATATATATATATATATATATATATATTATACATATAACATAAATAATTACTCAACTAACCAAATAAAATTCAACTTGTTTGTACCCCTCTTACCACCCACTTACGGAAATCAGAAAAACAGAAATGAGGTACCAAAACTGCTCACTTTTATAGACTATCTGCTCAATAATATTTTTCAATGAAATTTGGTAGGTAGATAAAAAATATATGTAAAAAACTATCTGGGTAGGTTTGCAAACTATCTGAGCATTTCTTTGATAATAATTTAATGTGAGAACAACAACCAAGTTTTTAATTCAAATAAAAGCAATACAAAAATTACCAACCACACATAAATGTTATATATTAATCAAGTTTAACTATTCTTTTTTTCAAAAATAATCTAAGTTTAGTAATGTTTCTAAACAGAAACGCCACAAAAAAACGTTCGCCTGACGTTACCTAAAAAAAAGTTCAAAAAACCTAGCACAAAATTTTAGTACAAAATTCGGTTCCGTAAAACACGGATTTCCGCGTACCTATATATATATATATATATATATATATAGTCTTGCATGTCTCTTGCGTAGCATCAAAAAATATTTCCCATAAACTGTAGTTTTAAAGAGCGCGTTAATAAACCAGACCAGAAAAAGTTTTAAAAATTAAATTTTTTTTTTTAATTGATAGACTGCCTGGCCAAACCAAACCCTCAGTCGATGTAGCAGCACTCTCTTGCGAGTCAGGCTATTTGTCAGTCGTTGTAGCAGCACTCCCTTGCGAGTCAGGCTATTTGTCAGTCGATGTAGCAGCATTCCCTTGCGAGTCAGGCTATTTGTCAGTCGATGTAGCAGCACTCCGTTGCGAGTCAGGCTATTTGTCAGTCGATGTAGCAGCACTCCGTTGCGAGTCAGGCTATTTGTCAGTCGATGTAGCAGCACTCAGTTGCGAGTCAAGCTATAAGATAGTCGATGTAGCAACATTTACGCATGTTTAAAAAATGTTTTTTATTAAATCAATAACAAAAACACCACTAATTAAAAAAAACTTTCTAGTCGTTATAATTGCGGTTTTTTAAAAATTTGTTAAAAAACAATTAAATTTAATGTACTTCCGCATAAATTAATTGCTTTGACATTTCGACGACAATCAAAAACAGCTTAAGAGACGAGTAATTAAAATTGTAGTCGTAAGAGACTTTTTTTACATTAAAATGCTCTTAAAGCGACACTATATGAGTATATATATATATATATATATATATATATATATATATATATATATATATATTATATATATATATATATATATATATATATATATATATATATATATATATATATATATATATATATATATATATATATATATATATATATATATATATATATATATATATATATATATATGTGTATATATATATGTATGTATATATATATGTATGTATATACATATATTTTAAAAACAGAAAACGAGGAAGGCAGATCAAAATTTTGCAAAATATCTTTATTCCAAAGATTAGGTGCACGATAATCAATACAAAGCTGATTAAACTTGGTTCGACATAAAAGTTGATTTAGCAAATTATTATTTCTCAGTTCATACTTATTTTCCGGCTTCAAAGTAAAAATATTTTTAAAAACGTCAGGAAATAAGTTATTTTTCCTCATATATACAAAACATAGAGTACTATATAAATTCACTTCGTAAATATTAAGAATTCTTATTTCGTTAGATAAAGGTTTTGAATGAGTAAAACAATCGGAAAAATTAATAATACGAATTGCGTGTTTCTGACGAGAAAAAAGACGTTTCAACTTATTCTTTCCAGCACTTCCCCAAGCAATATTTGCATAATTTATATAATTACGGATAAACGAGTGATAGAATTGGGTCAAGCTTTTTTTATTTTTAGATTTATCTAAAAATAAAAAGAGGGTTTTATATAAATCTAAAGATTTTATATAAATCTTTAGATTTATATAAAATTCCAATATTTTTAGAAATCTTGGTACATACGTGATCAATATGCTGTTTTCATGTAATGTGCTCAAGGTAGACTCCTAAAAACTTTATGACAGAGTCCCTCTTAATTTCAATTTGGTTAATAAATATTTTTTTGGCAGATTCATGGGTAAGTAACATTTTTTTTGAAGCGGGTGGGAAATGATCCATTTTGTTTTATTAGTATTAATATTTGTTAATTTAGTATATTTAGTATATATTATATATAAATATTTCGAATAACTTGCTGTCTGACGTCGTTAAAGCCAAAAATATCAAAATATTTAAAAAATTAATTCTATCAAATTCAAACAATTCTCTTGTGAAAAAAATCTCTTACAGAATAAAAAGAAGCTATTCAAGTATTCGTTTAAATCAGTTTGCTTTTTGCAATATATATTGTGATTATTCTGCAAAATATATTTTTAAAAATATTTTAAGTGAGATTTGTATTGAGTAAATAGGGCTTTGTGGTTATTTTTGACACTCTTAAACTTATATAAAGAAATTTATTTGTTGAAGGAATTCTGTTAATAATATTTTGACACAATTTAAAGTACCATATAAACAAATAGTTTATTTTTAATGTAAAAGATTAAGGTTTTAAGATATCCGGTGCCAGGTGCTGCAACAAAATGGTTGATTCTGGGTCTCCAAATTATTTTGCATCCAGAATTTCTTCTAGAAGCAGCCAATAATGGCTTCCGCCTCCTTATTGACGTTAGTCTCCAAAACATTTTTCCTCTAAAAAAAACTCCAAATGCGTATGCTATTTAGGAGGCAAAAACCACTGGAGGCGTAAGCCAGAATATTTTGCTTCAAACAATGTTTTAGGATTCCGCCGCCGATGGCTTATGCTTCCATAAAAATTTGGCCTTTAGACAGAATGTTACTTTGCCGCTGGAAGACATCACCAACTTTAAGATATTGATACTGTTGTAATCACAGCGTACGCTAAAGAACTTTTTTAAATTTACCTAAATGCCTTTCAGCGCTAGCATTTATTTGTCCATTTTTGGACAATGCAATAATTTTAATGAGCAATATATTAGCATATAAAAAATCAACTTGAAAAACGAATACTATTTTTTTCCAAGATGGAAGGAGGGGGGGGGAGGTCTGGAGAGAACACAACTGTTATTTCGCTGGAAAGCCAGGATGACCCTAAAGACGGGCCTGGACGCAATATCAGTGTTTGCCACGTGCACTATTTACCCTAGGTGCATATATATATATATATATATATATATATATATATATATATATATATATATATATATATATATATATATATATATATATATATATATATATATAAACAAAAATTATGACCATATAAAGTTTAAGAGTTATTTTGTTACACTTGAACCAGCTAGATATTTTTTTAAGTTCGTCATTCATATTACAAAACAATTTGCATATGTCAGTATTAGAAAGGAATAGGTTAGTTTCATCAGCGAACATATTGCTAAGTAGATTTGAAGATTTATTTAATTAACAAAAAAATTATTAAACTCGCAAGCCATTTTTTTTTGTTCATAGATGATTCTGTTATCAACCTTGATGACCTGGGAAATGAAACCTGAGCAGTCTTTTTGTTTTCTGCTTATTTCTTATATTATTTCCCATGTACTTTTAGAGTTATTTCTATACTTATCAATTAAGCTAGAGTAGTAATTTTTTTTCAAATTTTTTCGAGTTCTTTCAAACTGATATTTAAAATCTTTGTATATTTTTTCATTTTCTGGGGATTTTGTTTTTAAATACTTTATGTACAGTTTCTGCTTGATCTTCAATGATTTTTTAAAATCTTTGGTAATCCAGGGTTTTTTTTTAAACGACTTTATTAAAGCGAAATTACTTTACATTTATTTTTCTAAAATACAAATCTTTTTTTTTTATAATATGGCTGTTACATTATTAGAAATAACAAAATTGTTTGAGGACTACAAAAAAGAATTTGAGTTAATGTTAAAACAACAAGAAAAAGTTTTTATCGATATTATTAGTGGAAACTTGAAAATATTTAATGGCAGGTTAAAAAAAGTAGAAAAAGACATCGAAGAATTGAAACTTAGTTTAAATTTTCATGAACAACTAATTGATGAAAAAGTTAAGAAAGCAAAGGTTTGCAGTAAAGAAGACAATTCAGAAAGTATACAAAAAAAGTTAAGGGAATTGGAAGATCGATCTAGACGAAACAATTTAAGAGTAGATGGAATTGATGAAAATGAAGGTGAAAGCTGGGAAGAAAGCGAAATGAAGGTAAAAAAATTTTTTGAAGATATATTATCAGTTAAAAATGTCCAAATTGAACGGGCCCATAGAACTGGAAACAAAAAATTAAAAATGCCGAGGATAATAGTGATAAAACTTTTAGATTTTAGAGATAAAGTCGCGATCTTTTTCAATTTTAAATATCAATATTCGAAGTTTAAATAAAAACTTTGAAAAATTAAAAATTTTATTGGATGAAATTAAACACGATTTTAAAATTATATGTTTGACGGAAACTTGGTGTAAATGCGGTGAAACAAATTATGAATTTGAACTAGTTAATTACACATCAATTCACCAACCGCGTGAAGTTAATGCGGGTGGGGGCGTTAGTATTTTTATCCATAATTCAGTTAATTATATTTTACGTAACGATCTCTGCGTCAATGAAACAGATTATGAACCATTGTGCGTCGAATTAGTAAATAATAAAGAAAAAAACATAATTATAAATACTACATATAGACCACCATCTGGAAACTTAAAGAAATTTAAAACTCATCTTAAAACATTTCTAAACAAATTACAAATTCAAGAAAACATATTTATTTGGTAAGGGATTTTAACATTAACCTGATCAACTATGCTTTAAATAATAATACTAAGAATTTTATAAATACTCTTCTACAATATAACTTTATCCCAACAATAAACAAATCAACAAGAATAACAAATAGGTCTTCTACTCTACTTGATAACATCATAACTAACAACTTTCATAATAACCCTCTTTACACAGGTATAATCCAGACCGATTTATTGGATCATTTTCCTACATTCTTAGCTACAAATAACTTTTAATTAACAATATTTCCACAAAATCCATAATAATTCGACGACAGATCAATGAAAACTCCTTAAAACAATTTAAAAATTGTTTAAAAAGTTGTGTTGATTGGAATCTAGTACTGCAATCAAATGAGGCTAACGATGCATATGACTTGTTTCTTAATCAATTTTGCAAACAATATGAAATAGCGTTTCCAGAAATAAAAAAAGTCATAAATACCAAGTCACTTCAAGCTCCCTGGATGTCTAAAGGCTTACTAAAATCTTCAAAAGAGAAAGAAAAATTATATATAAAGTATCTTAAAAAAAAAACTTATAAAAATGAAATAACTTACAAAAATTATAAAAATATATTTGAAAAAACCAAAAAATACTCAAAAAAACTATTTTATGATCAATTATTAAAGAAAACCAACGGAAACACTAAAAAAATATGGAATTTAATTAAGGATTTAATTGGAAAAAATAATTATAACAAAAGCACTCTGCCAGAAAATCTTTTAATTAATGGAGAATTAGTTTATGAAAAATCAATTATAGCTGAAGAACTAAACAGCTACTTTGTTAATATTGGCCCGAATTTGGCTGCTAAAATTTCTACTAATTCCATTCCATTTGATTCATACTTAAAAACTTGTGATAAACTTATGGATGAAACTGATTTAAAACTGAGTGAGTTGAGAACTGCATTTAGCAGTCTCAAAAGTAAAAAAAAGTGAAGATTTTGATAAAATTAGTGTTGATGTTGTCAAATCAGTATTTGAAGTCATTGAACCTTCTTTATTTCACATTTTCAATCTCTCATTAAAGTCAGGTATTGTTCCTAATAAATTAAAAATTGCCCGTATAACACCAATTTTTAAATCTGGAGATAAGTCAAACATTTTAAATTACAGGCCTATATCAATCTTACCTTGTTTTTCAAAATTGCTAGAGAGAATAATGTATAACAGACTTTATAATCATCTAACTGAGAACAACATGTTGTACTGTAAACAATTTGGTTTTAAAAAAAAAATTCCACTGAACACGCAGTAGTTGAACTTTCCAATCAAATATCTAATGCCTTAGATAATGACTGTTTTACATTCGGAGTTTTCATTGATCTGTCAAAAGCTTTTGATACCGTAAATTACTATATACTAATAAAAAAAACTCGAAAACTACGGTGTAAAAAATAAAAACTTACTTTGGTTCAAAGATTATCTGACTAACAGAAAACAATTTTTATACTATAATCAAAATAATACAATTCCACACTCCATAACTTGCGGGGTTCTTCAGGGTTCTTTTTTAGGACCACTTTTATTTATATTGTACATAAACGACTTATACCTATCAACAAATCTTTTAGACCTAATTTTGTTTGCTGATGATTCAAATCTTTTTTGTTCTCACAGAGATATTAAATCACTTTTTAAAATAGTTAACGAACAGTTATGTAATGTTAGTGCATGGTTCGTAAGTAATAAACTTTCACTAAATGCGGAAAAAACAAAATATATGCTTTTCCATAAAGTAAATAAATCAGAAAATATTCCTCTTAAATTACCAGATCTTAATATTAATAAAACTTATATTAAAAGGGAATCTTACATAAACTTTTTAGGAGTAAAATTGGATGAAAATTTAAAATGGTGTTCACATATAAATAGCATTGAAAAAACAATCTTAAAAAATATCGCAATGATGTTTAGGGCTAAACCCTTTCTAAATATATCATCTCTGAAAAAATTGTATTTCGCCTTTATTCACAGTTATTTGTCTTATTGTAATGTTGTGTGGGCTAGTACTAGCCATACAAAACTAAAGAAACTCTACAATAAACAAAAACATGCATGTAGAATAGTATTTGGAGCCGACAGAAATGTTCCTTGCGAACCACTTCTAAGTGTGCTCGGTGCTTTAAATGTATATAAACTCAATTTACACCAAGTTTTATTGTTTATGTTTAAAACAAAAAAGGAATTGTCTCCTAAAATATTTCAATCTTATTTTAATAAAATTAACCATAGGTACTCAACAAAGTTTTCAGAAAACAATTTTGTTGTTCCAAAACATAAATTAAAATTAATTTCCTATTCAATTAAATACCGCGGACCTTATCTGTGGAAGAAATTTCCAGATATTGTTAACAAAAAGCAGACTACATTAGAGCAATTTAAGGATGAATCAAAACGATTATTATTGTTCATGGATCTCAATAAATCCGACTTTAAATGTTTATTTTAAAGTAAACACAATAAAAAAAAAATAAAAAAAAACAGATTCAATTATATTAATGATATATGATAATATGAATAAGAAAAGAAAGAAAAAGGAAAAAAAGAAAAAAATAAAAAATAAAAATAATAAGAAATCCAAGTGATGATGTCACAAGTGATGATGTCATAAGTGATGATGTTACATATCATTTAGTGTTAATTATGAGATTTTATTTTTTCAATTTCTTTTTATATTCAGGAATTTTTTTTTTTTTTTTTTTTTTTTTTTTATATATTAACTTATTTCTTAAACATTTTAGCAACTGTTAAGCATCTTAACGCTTCTTAATTAATTCTTATTTTTTATTTTTTTTATTATATTAGTTATTTTCTATTTCATTTCTAATTGTTTCTTTTATATATATATTTGTATGTTACGGTTATGTAGAAATTTTAATGGGGCTCGGCGATAAGGCGAAATGTGCCTTCTTCTTGCTCCAGCCATCAATTTATATAAATGTATATGCAATGTAAACATTTTTTAACGGCGAAATAAATTACACTAAAAAAAAAAAAAAAAAAAAAAAAAAAAAAAAAATGTTTTTTTGGATTAATTGTCTTTTCCATGAATGGAAAATTTGCATCGTAGATAGAATATAATGTGTTGAAAAAATTATCATATATAGAGTTTGCGTCATCGTTAAAGTTTATGTTTCCAATGGAGCAATGATAGTTGCTCTTTAAACTGATTAATATTGTCCTTGTTAATATGACGCAGTCTAATTTTTTTGCTTGTCTTAATCATAGTTTTAAGGTCACAGCTAAATGTTAAGAATATAGGAAAGTGATCGGAAATATCAGTTTTTAAAATACCTTTTTGTATGTTTTTATTAAGGATATCTGTTGTAATAATTTTATCGATAAGAGTAGTTGTGTGTATTGTTACTCTTGTCGGTCGATTAATTAAATGAACTGCTCCTAATTAAAATATTGCGTCATAAAACCTTTTAACTTTAGAATCCTCATAATAAGAAAATTTAACTTTTTAAGACATTACTATTTTTATTAAAAAATTTATGTTTAACAGTTAGTTTCACAAAAGTTAATTTTTCAAGTAAATGTCTAATTGGCAGCATTAAAGTCAACTGGAAAAATAAAAAGGGTTGAATAAAATAATTTATCAAAGTTATTTTTCAAACTAGTAAGGCTACCATTAGACAGGCAATATTTTGCAGATATATAGCTCTATAGTTAGAATACATAACAAGTTAGATAATGGGAATTCCAATTATGAAAAAAAATAAAAAAAAAATAAATATTGCGTATTTAAATTAGTCCGTAAGTAAAAATTAGTTTACATGTTTCGACAATAAAAAAAATTAGATCACGTTTGGACAATATTTAAATAATAGTAAAAGCGTGGAAAAAGAATCAAATACATTTAAATAAAATAGCTTTTAGAGTAATATAATACACTAAATAGTTATTGTTATTAATTTTCATCACTGCAATACAATACAAATAAATGTTTTTATTACTTTTCTGGTATTGCAACACAATATTATTGTATTGTGTTAATGTATTCAATTTTAAAATTGAAATTACAACAGTCCGAACCCTAATTGTTAAAACAATCTGTGGCAAATCTGATAGTAACATATTAACAACCTAATTATCAACTTAAAAATTGACTTTTTTTTTTTTAGGTAAAATAAAATACACTGTTTAATTTTATAAATATATATTTACAACTAATTCAAAATGCTGTTAAATCATGTTTATTTGAATTACTACAACTTCATATAATAATTTAATTGTACACACGCTAGGTGTTCACACAGGTTAAGTACTAATATGATTAATAATTTTTTTTTTTTTTAGTTTTAAACAAATATTTAAATGTTAATCAACCAATCAATATCGAATTTTTTAAATGCTAGCTTTTCACTGAAATCCCACAATTCTTTAGCAAGTTGTTCGTTTAGTGAGAGTTGTGAAGGAGCACACCCAGCACAATTATTAAAGTAGAATCCACCAACTCCTTCCATTTCAAGCGAAGCTGCACAATAAACTAACGTTGAGGCGCCTTGACACTATAAAAAAAAAATAAAAAAATTAAAATCTAAATTTTTTACTAATTTAGTTAATAAAAAATAAATTATGAGAAAAAAGGGCAAGTGGCCACGTACCTAATAAAAATCACCTTCTAAGCTTTATTAAAATATAGTTATAAACTCTGTAATAGGAAGGTTTAATAATAAAATAAAGAAATCATGTACAACATTATCAAAAGCATCTTAATTGAAAACACATTTATATGTTTTTGAATATTTAAACCTATAGCTGATTCTGGAAGACTTATATCAATAATAAAAACCGCTTTACGAAAATAAACGCTGAGTTAAAAGAACTCAAAAAACCAGTATGGTTTGTTAAACTTTACCTAGTAATAAAACCTAGTAATGTTTGTTCAGAAAAATTTGTTCATTACTCAAGAACAATTGTTAAATCATTTTAATATTTCGATTTTAAAACAAATAGTTCCATCAGAGTTTTACGGTTTTCTGATTTCTAGAAAACCCTAACATAAAACTTTGATCCTGATGTAATTACTTAATAAACGTTTGTAATAGTCAAATAAAATAGTAGACTCAAATAGAAATATTTTTTTTTCTACTATCACCTACTACTTTGTAATTCTCTGAAGAAAATGGGATGTTCAAAATCCTTATGTGCCTCACCTGAAATTATCTTTTGACACAGAAAATACTCATTAGTATCAAAAGTCAAACTATCGAAACTTTAAAAATAAATAAATTCAACTTTAATTTTACCTGTGATTTTGCAAAAGGCCTTGCTAGCAAAAACAAAAGTTTATAAAAATATGAATGGCGCTGAATACTGGTGGATATTAAACAACCAGGTGTAACTGCATTACAAGTAACTCCAAATGATTCAAGACGCCTATTAAGTTCAAAAGCAAAAAGTAGGTTGCAAAGTTTTGATTGGTTATAGGCGACCATTGAGATATAATCAGATTTTTTCATTGGAACATCTCGTATCTCAAACGTGTCTCCATAAAGTGAAGGAAATCTAAAGGTTTTAAAAATATTTATGAAGAGTAATAACTTCCGATAAAAAAAACTTTACTGTTTTAACTGTTATAATAGCTGATTATTTTGATGACACCAGCAGATTATTTAGGTGACAACAGCATACTATATACGCGACAACAGTAGATTATTTACGCGACGAATGCAGATTATTACGTGATACTAGCAGATTATTTACGTGACAACGGCAGATTATTTAAATTTACAATAGCAGATTATTTGCATGACAACAGCAGAATATTTACGTGACAAATAAATATATATTTTTAAATATATCTATTTGTATTTTTTGAAAAAAAATTCTGTACTTCACTTGTAGTATTTTGCAGAACTTATATTCCAATACAAAAGATTTGATTATTAATTAGTAAAAAATAAAGTAGAAAATAGTAAAATATACCGATGAGATTCTGATGACACAATTATCACTCTAGCTGGTGCTGAACTTAAAAGGACATCTTTTAATAAATTAACCAAATAAAAATGACCAAGATGGTTGATGGCAAAAGTACTTTCAATTCCGTCAGATGACAGAGAATATGGAAGGCCCATTACGCCGGCATTGCATATGAGAATTTTTATAGCCCTAAAAAATAGATAATTAAAATCATGTTGTAATTTACTTATATGAGTACTTTATTCAAATGCAGGTAGTAATACAGTTGTAGAAAGCTTGCTATGTTAGCCAGAAGTATGGAGTTCAAACCCCAAATGGTAGGGTTTAAACTAGATACTTCTTATTTACTGTAGTAGTCCTATACTCAGTGAGAGAAAGTCTGTAACTAACACACTATGTCAGATAAATGTGACAGTTTTCTTACAACCAAATTTGTTTATGAAGGTTTGTGTTTTGAAGTCATAGGATTAAGAAATTTCAGTCTTGACATTTAAGAAAAACTAAACACATTTCAAACCTGAATTTGTACAACACCTATAATTACAGGAAAAGTGTTGATACAGAGACAAACATACTCAAATTTTAAACTACACAATAAATATAGCAGACATAAACAAGTTTATAAAAAATATTAAAAGACATAATAAAAATACAGGTATAAACAGTAAATTGTAAAAACAAAATATAACAATAGTTTAGACTATTTTTATATTTTGTTTTACAATAATAAAAATATATATGACAGTATATGTTAATGAAGTTAATGAAGACTTTACTTTGATAACACTGTATAAAATGACTAACAAACCAACGCCAAATGATGAAAACACCATAGAAATGAAAAATAGCAGGAATATCATTTCATTAAATATAATTGAATATATAATATAATTGAAATACATTCTAGGTAGTTGTCTAGTTCAATTGATTTCTCACTTAACACCTAATTCAATTAGTATAATAGTATAGAAAATTATAACTATAAATGGAATATATAATATAAAGTTATTGTAAATAAAGTTATTGTAAAATAAATAATAAGTTATTTAGTAATATTTGTTATATCAGCCAAACTTTAATAATTGAATTTAATTATTTTGATGAGTAATTAAAAACAAATGAAGTGGTATTAGAGACCAATAATGTGTGATGCAGGTGTGATGGTTGTTGCCTAGTTATGTTAGTAGTTGCCTGCTATGGTCTTGTTATGATTTCATCCACTTTCAAAACAGGAAAAGAGAAAGCTACGCGAACTCACTCCTTGCACTTATGGGCTACCCAGATGTAAGGCCTAAAAAATGAATTTTAATTCATTGAATACACATCAGTCACCATAAGTCACAAGTCTTATCTAAGAGAGCTATGACTGGGGTGGTAAAATGTGCAATTAATTAAGATTTGAGCTTCAAGAACATAGTGAGCACTAACCTGATGTGTATTGTGGAGAATGATTACAGGATTACCCAAATACTGGTAATATGTAAATTTATGTAGATGTAAACTTGTTTTACTTTTTTTTCTGCCTAGTAGAATGAATGCTGGATCTTCTTGAATTTACCCATAGATTTTTGTTTGTGTTTTCTTGATGGTGGCTTCCTGTTATCTCCTAATAACCTTTAGACTTATCCTATCATCAAACTTCCTATTGCTACTCTAAAGCTGACTGAGATTCTTTTATGATTTATGCTTATATTATGTAACCTCCTGGATTCAGACAGGTATGAAAGCTTTTACTTTTTTTTTTCGGTTTCAAGTCTAGTCTTATTATTTTCACAGCTATGATCACAGATTCTGATTAATTTTGTTTGTCTCTTGAGAACAAACATCTTTTTATTATTACAAAAGCTCCACTATTTTCACTTCACTAAATCTTGTATCTTATCTCAGAAATTAGATTCTAGAGACAATTGGAACATAATCAATAGGGATTTCAATTTTCTCGTTCTCAAACTTGTTAACTGCTGTAATGGAAAAATTCTGTTGTGCATTAGATGGAGGTGGCAAGGCAAGGGCTAATGCTCTTGACATATTAAAACCTTTCAATAAAATTTGGTAAGCTTGTCTCATATAGTGTACCTGGGAATGTTTTTAAGATTATTAAACCATTTTGTTCTAAACATTTTTAAGTAATCCTCAAAGGCCACTAGTCTTCTTTATTTCCAGTTATTCCTAGCGCTACCTCAAGCTTCTATCCTTGGTCCTATATTGTTTCTTATCTACATTATTGATCTAAGATTTAAAGTGGCTCTTTTGCAGACAACTCAACTTTCAAAAAGTCATTGAACACTTAGAATAATCTTGTTCTCTCTTCTATAAAAAACCTCTTGTCTATAATAGGTTGGAACTTGCAGTTGCTTATGAATTATAACTCCAATAAAACTCAGTTGTTTACTGCAAACAATTACATCACAATATTGTTGATATTCTTATATTGATGAATGGCAACACTCTCACTTTCTTTACATCTTCTACATAAGGTCCATTAATGTAGTTGGACTTGTTTTATCTGACAAGCTTGCAATTACTATGGTGGCAATTTCCCACCATAGTAAGGCAACATATAAAGCAACATCGCAACTTTTTACTGTATCTGCCGCTTCATGCTCTGAAAACTTTTATGCGCCTAGTATTTTAAATTTATGTGTCAACCTTTTTTTTTTCTCTTAAACTCTTTGTTTTCTAGTAACTTCCAAGTTAATAGTGGTTGCTTCAGCCTTGTTGGGAGTGAAATAGAATTAAAAAAAAACAAAAAAACACCAAAATATTATAATAAACAATATATGTCCTTTAATATCACCATTTTTTTAGTAGAATAGTTTCAGCACATCTTTTTACACTATCCAAAGAAGCCAAATCACATTCAACAACATCAACTTTTATTGGTATTTTCTAAACAAATAGAATTTAATACTATATCATTTTATAAATTATTGTGTTACGTCAATTTAAAAAACTTGTCTATAAAAAGTACATTTTAAAACAAATGAAATTATGTAGCACACCTGTTTTTTTAGAATAAGAGACGCAGCTTGCTCACCTTTAATTTTAGTACGACATGCTAGTATTACATGACAGCCATGAAGAGAAAGAGCTAATGCGGTTTCAAAACCTAAGTTTAAAAAATTTATTTGTTAGACTAAAAACATTTTTTAACTACTTTTTAGCTAATACTATTAGTAGGCAAAATGTTTTGTGTGCAAACTAATCAACATTAACTACCAATTTTCAACAAAAACTGGAAAAATTAAAAATAAAATAAAAAAGTAGTTAGACAATCAAACTATAACATTTTCATCAGATTGTATTCTTCCTAGAATTTAAAAATGATTAAATCTTACAAAACCCTAAACAGCTATTTAATTTGTCCGATTGTATCGACAATAAAAAACCCCAATTTCTTAGCCATTGGATGACTACACCTTGGCAATTGGATAACCACATCTTAGCAATTGGATAGCCACATTGGAGTCATTGAATAACCACACCTTGGCAATAGAATAACCACAACTTAGCTAGATGACCATGTCATAGCAATTGGATAACCACATCTTAAGAATTGAATAACCAACCATTTTTTGTAACTTTTTAATTTTTTATTTTTATCTTTGTTTTTTTTAGGTGCTCCAAGAAAGCCTAACAATCTTGTCACAGAGCACAGTGGATGAGATTAACTAAGAAGTTCACAACTCTTCCCTTACCAATGATGCGATAACATGCTTAGAGCTTGTATCAAACCCTGGATCTTTTGTATATAAAACAAGTGCTCTAACCAGGGATGTGGAGTTGGAGTTGAAGTTGTGGAGTCGCAATACATGTAGCAGAGTCTGAGTTGTTAAAAGAATCACAACTCCAATAACTCCAATAGTAAAACTTCTCGGTATTGCATGTGCATGTACAAAATATTTAACCTTCAAAGAGTTTTTCATATAATTGGCAAAAAAAAATTTTTTTTTAATTATTGCATAATTTTTTTTAAAGAATTTTTTCAATTCTTTATAAAAAAATTTTTTTTTGAAATTAGTGATGCAATACAAATTAACAAATTAAAAATTACTAGCTCAATAAGTTGATTTCAATTCATTTGAAGAGCATAAGTTGTTCGTACACGACAACTGTAAATAAAATAAGTAATAAAAATGTGCCATAATTTAAACTATTTAGTGCGTCAATAGTGGTTATTGATGCAGTTAACAAAAAAGGTTTGTGGTTAATTTTAATTTGAACAATATTCAGGATAAAATTTAAAACAGATTGTTGTTATAAAAAATGTTTTACTATTATATTTTAAGTCTGGTGTTTCAGTTGATTATCTATTTAAAAAAAAAATACATTAAAGTTACAGTGGACTTTTAGTTTCATGTGAATATCTATTTTCATACAAATAACTAATTTTAATTTTTTTTCAAATTTGCTTTCTAATATACACTTTTTCATCAACTAATAAATTTATTTATTTTAAACAGCAGTTAATAACTAGACTATGGATAAGAAAAGGCGGCAAAAGCAGAGATCGACAGTTTTTGAATGTTTCTCAGCCACTGTTGATGAAAAGTTTTGCATATGCCAAGTGACCAAAAATGGTTAGGAAGAAAGATGTGGTGTCAAATCAGTGCATTTTCTGGAGAAGGTAGTAATGCCCCGTCTCAAATATTGAATTTAAAGCAACATCTACAACCTTATTATCCAAATTTTTTTAAAAAACTGTTATTGAAAAAGGATAAGCGTGAAGTTGAACATACACCAAGTTATTTATATCAAGCACCTGTAACCAATTTTTTTAAGTCTGTATATTGAATTACTGTTGCTATGACTGCAGAAAAATTCAAGCTGCTACATCAAAGTTTCAAATTCTTTACTGTTAACATTTTTCTCTTCTCCTACTTTTGTCTCTTTAAATGGTGAAATGGCTCGCAAATTTGGCATTCCTTTAGATGTACCCATTAGAGTTAATTATTTTGCAATTATCGTTCAGTTCCATGATGATAAAAAAAAACTTTGGCGCATCATACAAGTAGCTATTTGCAAGAACTAGTTATGAATGTTCTTACAGAATTTTCTATTAATAAGGAACAAATATTAGGCATTGTGACTGATAATGCAACTATTATGCTCACCACATTAAAGAAGCTTAATGAAGCATTTGATTTTGATGAAAATAAAGATTCTGAAGAAGGAATTAATGATAACTTTAACTTAGATGGATTTGTGGATGATGCTTTAGATATTTCCCAGATACACCACATGTGCTGCAACTCGCAATTTGTGATGGTTTGAGAGAAATCATGCTAGTCGATTGATTGCAAAAATAAGAAGTGTTGTGGTTTCTTGCAGAGAACCAAAACTTGATGCCATATTGAAGCAGCGTGCTGGAAAAAGCTCCATTTTAGATCAAGCTAAACGCTGGGGCAGTACTTATTTGATGATTGAGCGTATCATTGAACTAAATTTTTTTTTAACTACAAACAACAAGTTTAACTGCTGGTTTTATAAAGAATGGTGTCAACTTATTTTCCGGTTTTCTAAATCTAATTGTAAAATGATTAATGGAATTAAAAATTCAATGATACACAGAGAAAGTACCTTCCTAGATAATGACATCTTACTACCGGGTATCTACCTTGATCCAATGTCCAAGTGTTACTTACTGGAGAACATCAAATTAGAGCTAAAGATACTTTGTATTAATTAGCCATTTAAATCAAAGGTATAGGTTTGCAAGATGAACAATGTATTGATATATCTTCATCTTCATCAAATCTAATTCCTGGGGCCTTAGTAGATGAAGATTTTGAAAAATATTTGGACAAGCAAGAGCAATCCAAGTGTCGTTGCTAAGGGTTGGGTTTTAGCAGAGAAACTACAACAGGTAAATTAGGTAAATTCAAAATACTTTTACCAAGCTTTAAAAGAGGTAGAGAAATTTGACCGTTCTTCAAATTTAGCAGCAAATGATGTAATTCATAGATACCCTAAAGTCATTCAAGATGCTGCTCTGACTGCGACGGCATTGCCACTGACAAGTCTCCATAGAACGGTTTTTCTGCACTCAGAATCATCAGATCTAATTTGAGAGCATCAATGAAGCCTTATTATTGAAGTTATTGAAGCTATTTTATTTTTTAGGACAAATAATGCAGAATAATTTTCTTTTTAATTTTGTTATTTTATAAAGTTTTGTTTATTTTTAAAGTAATTAATAAAAATAAATAAAATTTATTTTTATTAATTACTTTAAAAATAAATTGATTTATACCTGAAGTAAACCAATGATGAAAAGATGAAACCAATGATGAAAACACTTCATTTGATTTATACCTGTAGTTAACCAATGATGAAATGATAAAACCAATGATAAAACCACTTATCATTGAAGTCTGATACTGATGATTTTTTTGAAATTAATTATTTCTTGCAAATTAATTACTTATATTAATTATTGTATATCATAAATTATAAATCACTATATTATTTTATATTATTGTATTATTATATATTATTATATATCACTATATATGAATTAATTATTATATATCACTTAAAATTAATTATTTCTTGAAAACATGCACCAACTATTTGACTAAAGTTTCTAGTCACACTAAAATTTTGTTATTTTAATGCAAAATTTTAGTGTGCCTAGAAACTTCTGTTTTTTGAATACAAAATTTTAGTTTGACTAAAATTTTTATTTTTTTGAATACAAAATGCTGTCAAAAACAACTAAATTTGCTAAAAACTAATATTACAAATATAAAGAAAGGAGCTTATGAATTTCAAAAAAATTAAAAAGAAGCAATTACACATGTTCAAATTAATTTTAATATCAGCAATAACATTTGCGTGAGTCTACAAAAAAGAATTTTATGTCATGTAAAAAGAATATAGCTATTGTTAGGTTTAACTCCATAATAAAACAACAAAGATACACAGTTACAACACCAAAGATTTTTTCTTCACTTAATATTAAAATAGCTGCCACATGCACATGAGAATGAAAAATATGGTCAGAAAAGTTGTTCTTTTTTATGACTAGTGCTTTGCTTACAAACCAATTTGTTGCTAATTTAACAGTCTTTATTTTTATTGTGACAACTTTTAAAAGCACTTGTATGAAAATCATTTGTATGAAAGTTGCAGGATTTAAACCCCCATTTTTATAATTACTGTTCTGTTAGGCATTTTACAACATTAAGAACTTTATTTGTGCAACTCTGAAGCGTTTCTTATTTTTAATAGCTTTGATAAAAAAAAAAAAAAAAGTCAAATATATACCTGAGGTCAACTGGTGAAATAAAGTGTTACAACAATGATTTTTTTAAAAAAACAACAAAAAAAGCCTTTTTTTTAAAAAACCAAAAATGTTTTTTAGAGTACTAGCTACAAGAGTACATAATACAAGAGTGAAAGCTCTATAAAATACAAGACTCTTTTTACTCATAGTCATTTATAGTACTTGCAATATAGTGCTTGCAATATAGTACTTGCATTAAAAATAAGTATAGTAGAAATTGGATATATTGTAATTATTGCCAAATCAAACCATAACCATACGTATGTGTCTTTGTATGTAATAAAACTGATGTCTATCCCTTTTCCAATATGATAGATGATATCATTAAATAGCAAACTTAAAATATAGTGAAAAATGCTCTTTGTAATTATGCACTATATAACTTTATTTATTGTACAATTACAACTAAAATTTATTGAACAAATTTAATTACATAATCTAATTATATTACTTAAAAAAGATACCTATGCCAGAGTTTGCACCAGTTATAAGAGCAGTAATTCCTCGCATGTCTCTTCCTCTAAGAACAACCATTGCTGAACTATAAGAATCAAACTTCATTGCAGCATTCTTTTTGTCAGACATTGAATAAGCAATTCGTGGATCAATGCAAGTAGTTCGATTTTCAATATGACTAAATATGTTTAGTTCAACAGTAATAAAATTCAACAAAACAAGTTAAAATTAAATCAAGTAAAATTATTTGTCTTATATTATTATATTATTATATAAACAACATAAAAATTATGTTTAGAATTTATTTATCAAGTTCCGAAAAATGAACGTGATATCTTTTTGATTTAACTAAAATGATCAACTTTAAAAGGCAAATCAAACTTTGGTTTGTCTTTTAAATCTTAAATAAATTTTATTTATAACTCTGAACTAGTTTAATCTTAAAGGCAAGTTTCCACTCATCCGTTTTTCTACAGGAACGGGATAGGAAAGGAAAAAATAATTACGTGAGCATGCATAATAAAAGATTTTATTTGTCAGAAAGAAAACTGCGCAGACTCACGTGAATATTTTTACATTCCCTTTCCCTTTCCCGTAGAAAAATGGATGAGTGGAAACTCACCTTAATAGACTGGTTATCAATAATTCAAAAATTAGTTAAGGTTTTTATTTTATTTTCCCTTTTACCATAATACATTTAAGTATTAAAACAACTTTGTAACTAATTATTTTTTATATAAGTTTATTTGAAATATAACTTACTTAATAAAGATAATTTTACCATCTTCTGTAGAGGCTTTGCTCCACCCAAAAGGAAGTTCTGTAAAAATATAATAATTGATTAAATGTCAAGATTAGAGAAAGTAATAAGAAAATAATTTCACATATTCTAAAAATACAAACCATGTAGACATAGCGTTTTTGTGGAGATAAGGAAACATATTTTGTCTGATTAAGCTAACTAAATACAGTTAAATAAAATGTAAATTTGCTATTTGCAGCTCTGCTAAAGCAAAAGCAATATTTCAGTATATTTAAAACTATGAGTTTAAATATACTGAAAAAAAGTTAATAAAAAAAAAAAAAAAAAAAAAAAACAATTTTACATTTAATCCTATGGAAAGTTATTAGACTTATAGGCAATGGATATTTAAAAAATCTTTTTTTCCGAAACCCTTATTTGCCTAATATATACAAAGTGAAGATAAACTGTGTGTACCTAACAAAAAAAGTTACATAAACCCATTTCTTTCTCATGTTGTTCTCAAAAGTGAAGATGAACTGGGTGTACCTAACAAAAAAAGTTTTGTAAACCCATTTCTTTCTCCTGTTGTTCTCAAAATTAAGTAAATTAGATTTTATTGCAAGCATGTTTTTTTTTTAACATTTAAATTAATGAAATGATCATTTACATGTCAAACTAGTCAATACTAATAAAAAAATAAAAAATAAACAAATTTAATTGCTACAACAATTTTTATTTTTATTACATTTCACTTAATCACAATAAATCTTGTCTAAAATTTAAACCATCTTGATTTCTAAAACATAAACAATGGTTTTTAGTTTTCTAAACTAAATATATTACCTTTCTTTTTTTTTTTTTTTTTTTTTGTAACAACTTTTGTTTTAAAATGTATTTAAAAACCTGATATGAATATTCGCATTAAATATTTTAAAGAAGTAACCTCCAATTTGATTAAAAATTTTTGATTAAAAATTTATAATCAAATTGAACTTTCTAAATTTGAAGAACTGAACAAACAGCAATGGAGCATCATTAAAAAAAAGTGCCCATTAACAATCAAAATTTATAATTAAAAACAGTTTATATAAAAAGTACCTGGTGACAAGTATTTTTCTCTAGAATTTTTTGGATGCTTCCATTGTGTGGTTTTACTTTTATGACTAAATAGTAAAAAGTTTAATATTAACAGGTGTGACTAGGAAGAAAATGAAATATCATTAATTTTATTTATTTTTATTTTTTTTTACCATGAAAAATAATAATTTAACATCATTAATAATATGAAGTGTGACCATGAAAATTTTTTTTTCACATTTCTTGTGTCCCAAGTAAAAGTAATCTTGTCTCCCAAGTAAAAGTAATCTGATATTGATTTTTAAATTCATATTATCTTGGGAATTTTTTTTATTAATTTAAAAAATACATACTGCCAAATTATTATTAATATAATTTAATCCTAAATCAAATAAATAAGATAAACTTTATATTTTAAATTTTATTTGTTTGTTCATAAAGTTAAGTCTTAATTATTTATTTTGCAAAAACTTATGGAGTAAGAACCAAATTTCATCTAGGCCCAATTTTAAAATTTGTTAAAAACATGTAAAAAATTTACATTTTTATTATTTTATATTGTTATTTTTCTTAGAAATTAAAACTAATAAGGGCAACATTTTTGTCTTTGTCTATATTTTGTCCTTGTATTGATAAAAAAAGGTGGCAATTGTATTCACAGATGACAGATTGTATGACAGATGTAACTTTTTAACTGTCATTAAAAAAAGAGCAAAACAAAAACAATAAAATCATAAGAGAAGAGACTTAAAAAAAAACTCAAATCAATAAATTTGAAATCAATAAATTTGATTCAAGTCAATAAATAAATTTAATTAACGCTACTATTAAATAAATTCAAGTTGTTTATTTCAACAAAGCAGCAGGGGTTTGTCCCACATTAATTTTTTTAAATAATCAATTTATTTAAAAAAATAAATTGATTGTTTAAAAAAATAGATTATTTTGCAGTGGAGAATTTTTCCATTGGAAAGTGTTTAAACTGTCTTTTAGCTGTTTCATAACTCTATTTATTTGTCAATAAAGAAGGATATAGTACTATAAAGCAGTTTCAAATTTATAACCACCATGGTAGCTTAATGTTTGTATCTTCCGATTAAAGACCTTATGTTGTTAGTAATATAAAGTATTTTAAACTTTAAATTAGCTTTTGAATGTATTTTTATATACACAAACATGTATGACAGTAAAACAAAATAATAAAGATTGCTGATGTCCAGCATTTGAAAAAAAAAAGAAGATAATGACCAGATGGCTGTATGGTGTTACTTTAAAATTTAGTTTAAAGAATGATTTAATGTAGAGATTAAGAATAGTGAAGGCCTTGTTTTAATAAAAAATGCTTAATGTATTAGTTTGAGATCATAAAATTCTCTTTATTATTATTATTTTTTTAAGGATATTAACTTTTTTTAAATTGTTAGAATGTAATAAATAATCAAAAAACGATTTCAACCGAAAAATTATATTGGAATGTTTTTTTTAAAATTAAATAACTAAATTTAATATTACATTTATAAAAATATTTAATTTAAACCAACTTCTTTCTTTTCTTGACATTTGTTTGAATTTCTTTCATTATTACAATTCTTAAATTTGTAATATTGCAACTAATAACTTACTTTTTAAAAGTAAGTGAGCAACAAATAAAAAATATAACTTATTGCAAAATTACTTATTTTTAAAAGTAAGTGAGCAACAAATAAAAAGGCTTTAGCCTTCCTCTTTTAAGCTGTTTCTCTAATATAAACAGTCTAGAGCATTTTTATTCCTAACTAAAACTCATTTATACAATATCTAAGGCACTCTCTTCAAATTTTCTTACTTCAACCACAACCATTTTCTAATAAAGCTGCTACCACTTTACATGTTGATACCTAAATTACTTTAATCTTTTCTAACAAACGTTGTTTGATACAACAATTTTTAAATCTGTCTAAGATTATACCTTCTTTTCTTGTCTTGCTCACACCATACATCCATCTAATCATCTTCTCTTTCAGCAAATGCTACACCATATAAATACTAAATTTTATATAACAACGAAAGGATATTGTATGCCAGCATTTAAAAAAATAGCAAACAGATATGTTTATATCCATAATAAGTGTGCAAAAAGTACATCTTGGAAGCTTATATTGCTTCTGGAATAAATGTATGGAAGCTTTTATTACTTCTCTTTAGTTTTAAGTCAAGCCTCATTCTACTCCACATTTTTCAACATTAATCATTTTAATCTTTTTTATAAGAACATCTCTCTTAAGAACAAATTTCCTTTTTATTATTGCAATAAGCTAATGTATAAATAAAGTCCTGTCTGATGTAAATCTTTGTTATTCTCAGTTTACTAAATCTTGTATCTTGTCTAAGATGTTAGGTTCTAGAAACTTTTGGTTAGTTTTCAACAGTGTGATTAACTAAGGTAATTAACGTTTAACCTCTAATTCATAGGTCTGATCTTTTTACTTTTCCCCAGAATAAAGCAGAGCTATTTACAAAGAAATCTTACTCATTTGACTCTCGAATATAATAGCCATACTTTTCCTGACAATTAAACAGATTAACCTATTGTTAAACATTTAAATTATTCTGGCTTCTAATACTAAAATTAATTCTCAATTAAACACTTCTAAAGTTTGTGCTTCAGACAAGATTTCCATCATAGTCTTAAAAAAGTGTTCTCCAGAACTCTTTACAACTTTTGCTACACTTTTAAAAAGTGCTAAACAAGTGGTTTCAATTTTTCAAAACTCTAGAAAACACTTTGACCTATCCAAGTATCCTACAATTACTCTTCACTCTATTATTAGTTTCTTATAAGTTTCTATGTAAAGGTTTTGAGGTTATTAAATTATTTCTTTCTAACTGCAGTAGTAAGGTTATTCGTGAAGGCCTACACTCTTCTTTATTTCAAGTAATTTTAAAGGTACCAAAAGGTTCTATATTTGCTCCTGTATTATTTCTTATCTTTAATAACAATCTTAATGAAATCTAAAGTGGCTCTATTTGCTGATGTTTAAAAATATATAAATGTATACCAGTATTTAATAAATAGTAAATATAAGCATAAAATTATAATATATTAAGTATTATAAATTTTTTTCTAGCCCCAGCTATAAACCCCTGCTAAATCTTATAATTTTGCCAGGACCGGGTTTGCAAATAGTCTCATTTTTAGCCGGGGCTGGGGCCCCGGTCATTGACTAGTAATAGGTGATTCATAAGTCTTTGCAAACATTTTTTAGGTCTATATCTTGAAGAACTGCTATTTAGACTAAATTAAAAAAAAAAAAAAATTTTTTGATTTTATTTCTTACATAAAAAAAAAAAAAAAATAATAAGTTTTCATCTTAATCACATGTGAAATGAGACATCCTGAAAAAGAACCTATCAATAAAAGAATTGTAAGTTACTATTTAAATGTTATTAATGGTAATAAAACTATGACTGTTTAACACTTTAAATACAAAAAAATACCTAAAATAACAGGTTGTTTGATAACTAAAAAACATGAATGTTCTTCAACAACTGAAGATTTACCAAGAAGTGGCCAATAGTAAGTGACCAGGGCCCTGGCTAAAAATGAGACTTTTTGCTAACCCGGCCCTAGTAAAATTATAGGATTTAGCATGGGTTGATAGCCAGGGGCTATCAACCCATGCTAATTTATAATACTTTATATATTATAATTTTATGCTTACATTTATAATTTATTAAATAGTGGCATACATTTATATATTTTAAAACTCTTATTAATTTACTTCCAACATGATTGCAAGCAACCACTATTAAGTTGAGTTTTTTTTAAATAGAGAATAAGCTAAAATACTAGGAAACATAAAACTGAAGAGTTAAATAGTTGTAAGTTCTATAAAAAGGAAAACATGAAGATGGGTAAGAGTTGTAAGGTATTTCTTTATGTTCAAAGAAAAAAAATTGAACTAAAAAAGTTTTTATAGCATGAAGGGACAGATACAGTAAAAGGATGCAGCCTGTTGAATAAAAAGCCTAAACAAGAATAAATTTTGGTTTATTGTTATAAAGATGCTAGCTCATTTGAAGAAAAGAAATGCAACCTTACAAAAATGGAATGTTTACCATACTTATGAGTTTTAAAAGATGGTTTGTAGTAGTTTTCGATTGTAAAAGTAGAAGTTTTCGATTGTGTATATTTCTAGTAGAGTAGGAATGTGTTAGTCTAATTTTTGTGAACAAATTTGTAATTGAAGATGGTATATTTTTATTTAAGGAGAAAAAACAAAATGAAGATTAGCATACTTGACTAATGCTGGAATTGTTGGAATGTTAAATTTTTTATGGACTCCTATGTTTCTGATTTAATTGGTTAAAGGTTTATTATTCTAATGGATCAACAATGAGATGATAGCAACTTGTTAATATGATAGTTTTCTAGTTTTCTAACTTGACCCCAAACTTGATAACAATAGCTAAGATGAGACAAGAATAATGCATAGTAAATATTCTTAAGTGTAACTTTATTAACTTGACGACAAATTATTGAAAGCATACTGGTAGCTCAAGATTTCTTGCATTAGTTCATCAATGTAAAAGTTTCATGAAAGATTGCAATCAATTAACACACCAAGATATTTAATAACTCTTGAAGGTTATAGCGGTTTATTATTAATTTTGATTTTAATTTTAACTTTTTAAAGAAATAATTTTTTCTCTGATAAAAGAAAAAATTAGTTCAGTTTTTTGGGTGTTAAAACTTATTAGGTTAACACTTAACCAGTGAACTATACTTTTTATATCGAAATTTACATATTTCTATAAAGAATAATATGATTTGTTGATATGCAAGAGATTTGTATCATCAGCAAACAGATGAACCGAAAAGAAATAAAAAGAGTTTGTCAAGTCGTTAACATAGATTAAAAACAAAAGAGAACCAAGAACAGAACCTTGAGGAACACCACACTAAACTGATTTATTATTAGAATCAAAACCATTAATACTTACAAATTGTTTTCTATCTGAAAGATAAGATCGAAACCAGTCATTTACAGTACTGCAAATTTCATAATGTTCTAATTTAGAAATCAAAATAATATGGTCAACGATA